GACAGTCACTCTCTCGTCAGCCCCTAGGAAGCAAGCAATCAAACCACTCTGAAAAACCTGCCAAGAAAACCGCGGGGACTTTTCCAAGCAGTCACTAGGAGTCAAAAACTGACAAGAAGGCAACCTCCACCCCCACCCGCCAAAATCTATGATGAAGTAATGAATCACTAAAGCTGAATAAGTTTAAGAGGCATCTTGAAGCTAAACATACCCCTTTTGTTGGCATGGAATAGGCTCCTTGCCAATAACTTAAGCAACAGCAATTTGATACTCCAGCCTATAAAGTTTTATGTTCTGGGTAAAAAGCCACTCTAGTTTATTACTTTACTTGGCAGCCTACAAAGCAAAAGAAAACACACACCACTGGTGGAAGACCTGGTGAAACCAGCAGCTATGGGCAATGTGTTCATAACCAGTGGGGAAAGATTTGCCAAGAAAATGCTGCAAGACAATGACAGTATTTGTACATATATTTATAAAACTCAAAATTGTGACTACCAAAACAAGCGGGCAGTTTAGTCATTAGCTGCGTGATAACGGAGAGCAGATTTCATTAAAAGGATTTTAATGCCTTTACTAGACTCTTTATTACTCTTTACAACAACCTCAACCCAGGGAAGATCAATGAAGTACAGATGGACTAATATACAGAAATGGAATTTCAGATAGCATAACCAACCAAATCCCTACATCTTGCCTATGATCCTTAGCAAGGCAGCCTTTATCTACTTTACCACCCAATCTCTCTATCACATAATGCTCAGATAATTCTTAGATCTAGTTCGGTATTCGATGTTGATCCGCATTCACTGAATTTTAGAGATTTCACTTCGGTTCTTGCATTATTAGTGCATCTTTTTAAGGAGAAGTACATGCATTTATAGATGCAACCCACAGCTTCTTCCTGGCCTGTGCCGAAGCAAAATAGATCCTTTCGGGGACTTGATATAACTCACGAATGACTTTTTAACTGCGCCCCTGTCAGAAACCATGAAACAAACTGGTTTTAATCCAACTTTAAAAAAGGAAGGCACATCACTTAAGACTTAAGTCAACAGTGGACTGGCTGGACCTAAAAGGGCAGCAGCGACCACGCGCGCACTTGCAGCCCTCGTGGGAACACTTCCCCCTGGCGCGCCCCCCCCCCATGGGTGAAGCCGACTGGACGCTCCACACGCCCATCAGTCTCCGCCTTGAGCCCCGTCACGTGTGCTCGCGTCCCGGTAGAACCAGGCCCTCTCCCCAGCCCGCTCGACTGGCTCCTCCTCGGTCGCCGCCTCCTTTTCCGCCCCTTCGTCCACCGTCTTAACCTCAAGCTTGCCCGCCTGCCTTGCGTCCGGCGGTAGGTAGACCGATATTTGCAAGAAGTTTTGAGGTGGGGGGAGGGATCCTGCAAGCGACGCGGCCAAGAGTTGGTCTTTCCCCCCGGTTCTGGTTTCAAACTCCCTCGAGCGAGAGTGGGAGGAGAGCGCGCCAGAGAGCGCGCTTTTCAATCGGCTGGGAGGCTGCGATTGGAGAGCCTGGCTCTCGCGAAGTTTCATCTGCACCCAGAAAAGTTAGCCGATTTCGATTTTCTCGGGAGCAGGGAATGGTTGCGCACCCGTCGCCCCCTCTTGGGTCGGCGTCTTCTCAGAAGCGGGAAATCCTGTCCTTTAGAGAAAGTTTCTTCAGGTTGGATCGGAAAAGTGTCCACCACCGTCTTGTGTCCGGAATGAGCAGCGATTCATAACGATGGTGCAGGAGGGGGACATTCTGGTAGGGAATTTGTATCCTTGTATGTGGTTACACAGTTGCCGGATCCGTAAAGCTGGTAAAGCCGGGATAGGCAACCTGGTGCCCATCAGATACTTTCGGATTGCAGATTCTGTAACTGTTAGGGTGGCCAGATGCAGCTCTAGCTCCATTCTTTTAGCTTAAAGAGGCCAAGATAGATGATGTGGAGAGAAGCGCTGGTAGACCCTCCAGCTCTGCTACAGCCCTTAACACAACTCTTTGGGTGTGTTGAATTCTCCCAAATCCGCAGCCAAGCTATCACTTTACTCCAGGAAATTCTAGGAGTTGAAATCTGTGCATTTGGAAAGCACATTGGTTGGGGAAGATTATCATAAGCATTGGCTGGAACTGAGGGGGACTTGTAATGAAACATATCAAGAGGATATCAGGTTGTCCATTACTGGCTAAATAATAACAGAGCTGTGAAGTCTGTTGTATATCTTCTTTTTGGCCTTGTTAAAAGAAATTCTGAACATTCAAACAAAAAATGTTAGTGAGGGGACCTGCAGGTTTGGGCAAGTCAGCTGTGCGTACTGAACTCCTGGTGTTTCTTCTGTCTTCGATCTCCCACCTTCAAGCTTGGAGCTGCAGTGGATGACTGCCGGGAATCAGTATAACTGCTTTGAAAATTCAGGGTTATTTCCCCTGCCCGCCCCCCCCCCGGCCTAAATTGGGGCTTGAAAATATAGGTTCGTTTGAGTGCATAAGCATTTTTGCCAGCTTTGGGGCCAGTTTCTTTTCCTAGATCTGGAATGAAAACCTGGGATTTCTTTTGGCTCTCGGTGACTGGAGATAGTCCAAACCCATTATGAGGGTAAATTTATTTCCCTAACTTAGCTGGAAATAAAATTGGGATTCCTTTGGATGGCTGCTGTTCTTGATAACTGAATGCTATTTTACCCAGTTGCTAGAGAGCAACAGTGGAAGAGGGTTATTGCCTTCATGTTCTGCTTGGGGGTTTCCAGGATAGATCTTGATGGACACTGTATGATACAGAAGGGCATTTGCCATGGTCTTGCAGGGATCCTGGACATAATGGAAGGCTAACCAGGGAAGGGTGATGAGTAGACCTTAGTTCTCTGGTTGTGATGCCACTGATCTCATACTCGGAATTAAGAAAGTTGTCCAACCTACTAATTGAAAGACAGTGACCTGGACAAGTGTGTCAAAGGGGTAAATCCTTACCATAAACCATACCTAGCCTAAAACACTCTTGGGGAGAGGGAGGGGGTTCACCTGTGGGTTTTAAAAGCCTGTACCTCAGTCAATTAACCATTGTGCCCAAACTGCTAAAATGGAATGGAAAAAATAAACTTTAGTAAGCAGATGGAAGAAAAGAGTGTTTGTAGCAAGAAATCTTTCTTTTATGGAGAACATAATGCATCACCATCATGTTCTCCATAAAAGTTGCTAACTGTACACCTGGTATGTGTTGAATAGCTCTCATTTAAATTAAGGTATTTGGCCACACTGGAACTCCTGAATGTTTTAATATGACTCTTAAAAATCAGTACAAAGGAGGGAGGCTGGAATGAAAGATTTTTTGGAGCTTCGGAGTCCATCACTATCCATACACAGAAGTTGAAAAATGTACTTCACTGGAGAATGCTCCTCCCATTAATAATCAGTAATTACAACTCTGTAATGAGTTCTCTAGTGCAAATGCAGAAGACAAAATTAGTTTGGCATGTAATGATCACAGCAGTTGCTAGCTCAACTGTACAATAATGTAAGAATTAATAGGCTTGTTCCTGGAAGCCAGTTATTCATTGCAACTAGACTTCATGGCTCTTCATGTACATTTTCTGTTAAATTGTTAAAAGCTATGGAGCTTCATTTTTTAATGAATGTAGGAAAGCTTTAACAGTATTAGAAGAGGACTGAGAATAGTATAGAACAGTCTTGGCTTATATATTACGGAAAAACTCTTTTTCACTAATAGAACACATGATTCAATTCATAATTCGATTCCTGGCATTTTTAGTTAGGCGGGGAAAGTTTGTGATCTGAAACCCCAGAGAGCTGTTGCCAGTCTGTGTGGACAGTACTGAGTTCAGTGGACGATTAATCTGATTTGGTAAAAGGCAATTTCTTCTATATTTTCCGTGGGATGCTCCTGTTCAGCCATACCCTTGTATTTCAGAATATACCATTTTTTCCACCAGACAGCACTTTTATCACTGAGCGTGCTGAACTTTGTCGGTTTATTTTTTTAGGAAATGCATATTTAATGCTGTATTTGTTCTCTGAGATCTTCAAAACCTGCAGATAATGTTTTATTATGAGTGCATTGTTTTGGCTATATAACTATTAGCCCTGGGGAAAATGAAATTGCTGTCAGCAGATACATAACAATGATCTGGACTGGAATGCCACTAAAATGTCATGGAAACCAACAATGTTTCTCAACTTGTTCTTAGAGCTCTGTGCAGCAACTAGTATATTTGTTTCACTAAGATGTCTTACTATGTGATGTTGTTCCTTAATTGTCTTATGATAAGCTCTATTTTTGCTGAAAGGATTGTCTGTTTTGGGGCAGATTTGGGCTTACATTAATAATACATTGTTGTTGTTTAGTCGTTAAGTCGTGTCCGACTCTTCGTGACCCCATGAACCATATTGCGCCAGGCCTTCCTGTCCTTCACTGCCTCCCTGAGTTTGCTCAGTTTCATGCTCATTGCTTCAGTGATGCTATCTAACCATCTCATCCTCTGCCGTCCTCTTCTCCTTTTGCCTTCAATCTTTCCCAGCATCAGGGTCTTCTCCAAAGAGATCTCTCTTCGCATTAGGTGACCAAAATATCTGAGCTTGAGCTTCATTATCGATCCTTCCAATGAGCAATCAGGGTTGATTTCCTTTAAGATTGACTGGTTTGACCTCCTAGCAGTCCAGGGGACTCTCAAGAGTCTTCTCCAGCACCACAGTTCAAAGGCATCAATTCTTCGGCGCTCGGCCTTTTTTATGGTCCAGCTCTCACAGCCATACATTACTACTGGAAAAACCATAGCTTTGACTATGCGGATCTTTGTCGGCAAGGTGACGTCTCTGCTTTTTAATATGCTATCTAGGCTTGCCATAGCTTTCCTCCCAAGGAGCAAGCGTCTTTTAATTTCATGGCTGCAGTCTCCGTCTGCGGTGATCTTGGAGCCCAAATAAATGAAGTCTGTTACTGCTTCCATTTTCCATTTCTACCCCTTCTATTTGCCAGGAATTGATGGGTCCAGATGCCATGATCTTAGTTTTTTTAAAAGTAGATATTTTTCTGGAACTCTCGTGCTTTCTCCATGATCCAGCGAATGTTGGCGATTTGATCTCTAGTTCCTCTGCCTCTTCGAAACCCAGCTTGTACATCCGGTAGTTCTCGGTTCATGTATTGCTGAAGCCTAGCTTGTAGGATTTTGAGCATAACCTTGCTAATAATACATATTGTTCTTAAATGTAAGAATACTTTATATGCTAGGTTATAATTGACTAGATATCTCAGGTATTCTCTGTCATTCAGCAGTTCTAGACTATCATTTGGATAAGGACTCCCATTTGTGTTTCATATTTACTGCCCAGTCTTGGGGTGGTGTATAAATTGGTAATAAATAATTAACTATTTATTGCCTATACCTGCACATCTACTGATTGGCAACCTGAATCAACCTGCCTAGCATCTTCTCTCCATTGGTTTATTTTTTTATGTTTTCCTGGGTGTTGCTTAAGGAATAGAGTTGAGTAGGAAATTAACAACATGGTAGTATAAATGTGATAGATTGTACAAAGTGATTAATCTTGCACAGCTGACTATTTTCCATTTCTTTTTATGAATTGAACAGATGCTCAAATTGGCTGATATATTTAATGCCCCAAGTGATGATGAAGACTTTCTTGGTTTTGGATCTGATGTTCCCATGGAAACATTGTCACTGGAAGACAGCTGTGAGAGTTTCGATTTGCTTGAATCAAGAAAAATGGTAGGGGAAACCTTTGTAACAAATTATGCACCGTTTTCATCCAGTAAATAAAACTCCTTGTAAACCTCCATTTACCCATGGCCTAAATTGCAACTTGATTTTTCTTGTAGAATTGCTTTCTAAAATACAGTACAATGAAGCAAAGAAAGTGTAATGAAGTGAATTTTTTGTTCTTGCTTTATAGAGAGAGCCTAGTGTAGTTCCCAATTTCTAATTCAAATTCATAATTCATAATTTATCTCAATTGGAAATAGGGTCTTTGTCAAGCAATTTACCTCACAATAGTTATTACTGTAGCTGAAGGTGCTATTTCTCTAAGGAAAGCCCTTGAGGGGGGATAGGAATTGTGTCCATCCTTGTATCACTGAGACCTTGTAAATGAGACATGTCTCAGAAGCGGTTTAACATAGGTTTCAAATTCAAACTGTTTCATCTCTTTCAGGTTCAAGTTAACTGGTCTCTGCTCAAAACTGGCTGTCCACACTCTCTGGGAGTGTTCTTTCCTTGAAACAACCTCATTCTGAGGCTGTTTTGAGTCAGAATATTCCCAATAAAGTTGGAACAACATTGGAACATTTCTAGTGAGGTCAGAACAGCCTGTCTCATACTCAAACCATTCAAATTCAAAGAATTTTGCATACTTCTAATTTTTTAATTAGCATTGTGGGAGATGGGAATTCATACTAGTACCCAGAGTCACCATAGGGCTGAATAAAAGTCAATAAATCACTTCCATCAATATGACTCTAATTTATTTTAATAAGTCTTAGTGTTGAATACAATGATTGTATTAAGATATATTTCTTGCTGGGCATCCAAATAGCACTCCCCCCAAATTAAATAAATGGAATAATTTTTAAATAATGCATTTAAAAACTGTTGAAATTTGAAACAATTTTTGGAGAAATGCCTGAGGTCGGAAGATGATGGTGAATTGTAATTTTTCCATATTCAGATTGTGCGATGAACTGGCTTGGTTCTTAGGTTAGTCACATTTATTGCATGGAATGATCCACTAACCCACAGAAGCTGTGTTTGTGTGCTTACCCACATGATGAGCTTAACCATTGTTTATTCAGTTAATCAAATTTTAGGAATTTGCACACTGTACTGAACCATTAAAGACTTGGGGCTGAGTTTGCAGAACACACTAAGCTAAAATATGGTTAGCTAATGTGTGGCTTATTGTATTGTCTGGATCCACTCGGTATCTATCTTATCTGGATTGAGATCAATTTATTGTCCTTTGACCAGGCAGTAAGCCAACCAGAGTTTCACTGGAAAGGTGCAGTAAAGCCAGAAGTTATCACCTACCTATTCATGGTGTAGTCTACATTTATACTAAGCCTATCCCCTGATTTCATGTACATGTTGTAATAGCATGGTAGTAGAAACCACTGAAATACCCTCTGGTAGATTTCTCATAGAACAGAGTAATAATTCCCTAGTTCCCGTAACTATAAATATCCATTCAAGAAGGAATGAAATTATTTTAAAACAGATCTTCTTTCAATTAACCAACCTGGATGAAAATGTTGTCTGTCTTTTTGGATGTTTTACGTTATATCTCTTAAGTCTCAACCAAAACAGCCTGTGGTCAGTATAAAGGGAGCTCATCAAGTTATCTGCCCCTGGTCTGTGGTATCAAAAGCCATGAAGCTCAAGAAAATCAAGAAGTTGTACTCCTGACCTTCTCTATACACAGGTCATCCAGTTGGGCTTTATTATGTATGGCTGTGTTTTATCATCCTTTTCATTTGGAAGGATTTCATATTTTATTTCTGTTATTCATCTGGATAGTAATTTGTTAAATTGCCTGTTTCTTGTTTGTTTTAATTGTAAAGATTTGGGGGATATTTGCGGTACTCTTCATGTTGAGAACAGTGTTGTGTTTTTATGCTTGATGTTGCAGGATTCCCATTTGAAGTCCAAGTACCTTACTGAGCAGCTGAGAAAGATTTTTACAGAAGACATAGACTCAGAAAATGAAGTGTTTGAAGGATTTTCTTCAAGTGAACATGAAGTAAATGGCAAGAATTATGTGGCAGTATAATATGGCTTCATGTACTTTTATATATCTTTTAAATGTTCAGTTGTTGGTTATTTTGGCTGAGGACTGTAGCTAGCATTGTCATTTAGAATGTGGGTAACCCTGACAATATTTCCACATTTTATTCCCGTATCTCTGTTGCTCTAGCTTGCGGGAGAAGAAAGCATTGTTGGCCTGAGGATAAGTTGAGGTGTAGGCTCTTCAGTGCAACTAATATTAATTGTGAAGAAATGAACATGGTACACTGGTTTTAGCATCAAAGTGAAAAGAAGGAGCAATAATATTTAAAGTCCTGTTTATGCTCTTTAGGGTTTCAGGCATATGCCTTTTATATCATCTTTTAACTGGGAATTTCAGGGAATGTACAAGTATCCTTGATTATGCAGAGCACCCATTCTTCCAGTGAATATGGAATTTCTTTTATTGCGTAATCCAGTACTTGTCTACTAATAATGTTTAATGGGGCTTAGTATTGTGTAGGATTGTGGACTTAAAGCTGTTCTCAACATATAGTTGTAATTTCTGTAGTGCATTTTCTCTTAAAGTTTTTCAGACAAACTCTGGTGCCTGTGAAGTCAGTTATATGTTTGAATTCATTGACCATTCAGTTGTGACAATAAGCTAGCTCTTGTTTGGTTCTGGAATTGAAAATATTTTTACTATAATATTCTCTGCCATCTTATGCAAATCCTGGCCATCTGTCGTTTGCTCTTTTTCTATGTACCCAAGCCAACTTGAACAGTTCACATGAAATAACTGTTTAAATTAAAAATCAGATAATTATGAATCTATTTCGTTTAAAAATCAGATTTTTTTTTTAAAGATACCTTTTAATATGATTGATGTAGCTAAGGAAAATAAAACATTAGCTTTTTTCATGATACAAGTACAACTGTAACATAGGTTGCTTTATTCACCCTTTTTTAGGCAGTGGAATCAGAACTAGAGAATAACTCACCCTTAATGGAGGAAGAAGAAGAGAAGGAAATTAAGTCATCTCATAAGAAGAGAAGCTTTAGATTTCGTGTGGCATTACAGTTTCCTAACAAGAAATCAGCTGAAAAGACTTCCCCTAAGTTCTGTTTAACGGACAGTAAAGAATCTCCTTTTCTTAAACAAACAAAAAGTAAAATTTGGGGAAAGGCAGACCAAGATACTTCTTCAGGATCCGAGGGAGATGAGGCACCAGAAGAGAACTCTAATGCGCTTTTGAAAAGAGATATGAATATCAGAGAAAATAAAGCTGTGGTAAGAACTAATTCAGCATTCTTAGATGGCATTAATAGTCAAGAAAAGAAAGAAATGGGAAGTTGTTGCACACATAATTCTAACCCCCGCATTTGTTTTATCAAACATATTTTGTATCTGACAGGTAAATTAACTGCATTTTAGTGAGGGATCCAAAAGTGGACAACCTATTTAGAATCATGGTTAGTAGGAACAAGTCATTTTCAAACCTTATTTATGAAGCCTTTATGCATTACTGTAGTTCAAACTATCACCATTTTGTTTGGGTTTGAATTCCATATCAACTATAGACTTGTTCTTGTGGTTGCACCCAAGAGGAAAACTGAGATTCATTCTTGTAATACTATATCACATAGTATTAATCTGAATGCTGGAAGTTTAATATGACTACAAAAAATGATGCCCAAAGTTTTTCAGTGGAGCTCCACTTGGAAGTTGCAAATATTTTCCTTGGATCTCATACCTGCAGTGGGTAAGACCAGTGCCAAAATTTGGCATACCGTCTGCCTTCATACTGCCTCCTCTCGTCACTCAATGGGTGAAGAAGGACTGAAATGATTAGTTATTTTTGTCTATGCTTGTGACTGTGTATAACCATATATTGGTACTTATTTCATTTTAAAGCATTGCACCACTGTAAAAAGCATGGTGTGCTTTGCAGTTGTAGTCCTTCCCTTTGAATGAGTGATAAAGCCTGCTTACGTGGCATCTATATGTGAAGCAGTTGCTTCCATAACTTTGGAAATATGCATGAGTTCATTATTAACTCCAAACTTTTGCTGTAATATTCTGAACCACAGTGAAACTGATCATACCAGTGCAATTTTAAAAACTATGTGATGCATGAGTAAAATGATTCTTAAAAATGGGAGGATTTATATTTTTTAAAAAGGCATCATGAAATAGTATATAGATAAGATTGCCATTAAAAAGTATTGGATTTATAGAGAAAATCAATCCATTTTCCCATTTCAGCTTGCCCAGTTATTAGCAGAACTGAATTCTATACCTGCCTTATTTCCAGTGAAAACCCCTTCCTCAACTCCTGTAAGTATTAACGAAATTTTTCACAGAAATTTGTGTTGCATTTCTAAGACTGAGTGTATATCACTAATTTTTGCAGAGGCATAATACTGTTTGTGACTGCTTTTTCTGAGATATTTTATACTTGGACTAAGTATTAAAAACAATAAAGTCATAAAATTGTGACTTTTCCTTTCAAACACTTATGACTCAGAAAGGATTAGGTCCCTATTCTTGCATTTGCAGAATTTTTCTTCTAGTATATGTATGCATGGATATGTTTTTTTTTCAGACTCAGGAGCTTCCAATATATGTGTATACGCTCTTCAGAAAGGCATGTGAAATCACAGACTAATTGAAGGACGCAAGACTAGTTTTTCACAGTTTTGTGCACGTCCTTGACCAATACAATAGCTAACATATTGTTAATAACCTAATACTGCATTCCCCAGACTAGTACTCTTTTGATGTGAATATACTGCAACCTGTGAATTGTAGATTTAGTACATGTTGAAAAGCAATTTGTGGAAGGTTGTAGTTGCCTAATAACAACAGCAACAACGGCTAACCTAAATATAGCAGTAGAAAAGTGGACAACTGCCTCCTTTTCCAATGACGGTGGTTGGTGAATGCTTCCTGTTTCTTGAAGTACTGTCTATCCTAGATCAAAGAATTCTGTAACTAATGTTTGTAAGAATTCTGTATCTCTAACTCATCTTCTAGTTTTGTCCAAATACATACCTGCTCTTGTTATATACTCCCCTAAATCATGTAGCGACCGGCAGTGTGCCATAATTCATCGATTAATAATAAAGAATGAATTTGAGGTGTGTTAAACAAAGGTGACCATAATTTTATAGCTAATGCTATGTGCCCATAAAGAAAATGTCCAGATGTGAAATCTCTCTTTTTTTCTCTAGAAACAGAAGAAAACACCAAGGAGAACATTTTCAGAAGGCCAGATACAGCGTCGAACTAACCCGGCCAGGAACGCTCGTCCTCCAGAAAAATTTGCTCTGGAGAACTATACTGTTTCAGCTGTCAGATTCGCTGAACACCTTAATAGTTACAAACACCAGAACTTATTGAAGAAAAGACTAAAAGGGGTACATGCCAAAATTATGTTCTGGATTTGTTTGAACAAAGAGTAAATTGCAAGTAGCAAGGGTGGTACTTACCAAGCATGAGCTAAACATTTAAGTGAACGGCCTAGTGTCTGTCATGGTCATGAGTAGGATGTCTTCTGAGTTTTAGATATTGCTTGAATGCTAGGCTTACAGGCTGTTCCAATCATAATAGATTCTGACTACAATAGACTTTGGACTAAACTGACAAGCTCTAGTGGGTCTTTTGAAGGTCAAGGATAGTC